TTCAGAAAGAGAGAGGCAGAGAGAGACAGAGAGAAAGAGTCAGAGAGAGAGAGAGACAGAGACAGAGAGAGAGAGAGAGAGAGAGAGAGAAAGAGAGAGAGAGAGAGAGAGAGAGACACACAGAGAGAAAGAGAGATAGAGAAAGAGATAGAGAAAGAGAGAGGCATTCTCCTTTCCCCCAAAATCCACATTCAGTATCGTTCAGCGCGCAGAGCAGGGGAACTAAACCATACATACTTTGTCTACGTTTGGAGAAGCAGCTTTCACACCGCAAGACTTGATGACGTAGAATTATGAAGTTTTGACCAAGAGCAGATCGTAAATAAGTAAATCATATATGAACTCTGAAAAATTTCGAAGCATATTACGCCCACTCAAGAAATGATGACGTTGGTAAGCTAAAACGTTGGAAATAGACAGGGGAAATAACTACAATTATTACATTGGAGAAGGGAAGTAACGATGTGAAGACTATGGTTGTCAAGGGACATAACGTCGATTAAAAATTCTTTCTTGATAAACTAGTTTGAGAGTCTGCCAGTGCATTGCGACTGATTGAGTTGCAGCTGCAGACGCAATATTTGATCACGTTTAAGAAGCGTAATTTAAAAGCAATGAATTTGGTCCAGGAACAAATATAAATGAATCCAGTATTTTTTTATGTAGGTGGATGTGCATACCATTAGACAAACAATTGCAAAAGTTATATATTCGAGGAGTTCAGTGAATGTGGTGCAGCAATTTTAAAGTTGTAGCAGCAACATAAAATTGAATTTTTGTGTCTCCTACTCTGTAGGAGAAATCCTAAGCCTATTATAGTATTATCAATGACATAATATATAGAATGCATTTGTATAAATAAGTAATGTCCAATAAAAAGATGTATAAAAATAAAGCAGCAATTCCTATTTGTAATCTCATAAGCGATGACTTAATGATCAAACAAGTCCAACATTGTAATTCACAGAAATGACAGAAATGATATGAAGAATGAGCCCAATCAGGAAAAAATAGAAAGATCCCAATGACTACCAAAATGAAAGCTCTGAAATGCTGTATGGTCAACCCTTCTATATAGCTGTCAATGCTGGACAGTCACTAAAGTACAATGAAAATAAAATAGAATCAACAGAAATATGGTTTCTTAGAAGACTGCTGAGAATACCTTGGAAGGAAAAGAAATCAAATGCAGTAGTGCTTGATGAAGCCCACGTGGGACGCTCACTGATAAAAACAATCAGGAAAAATGAAATACAGTTTTTGGGACTCCCGAATAGACATAAAGGTCTTGAACATCTAGCTCTCACTGGCAAATTTGAAAGCAAACCAGGCAGGGATAGGCCCAGAGCAACCTACTTAGAGAACCTAAACAGATGGGTAATGAGGAAAGATCAATGTAATGTAGCTTATTTAAGAGCATCTTGGCAAGGGAATGAATGGAGAACCATGATCACAGATGCCTGCTGCAGTTCTGGCACTTCATGATGATGATGATGATGATGATGATGATGATGATGATGATGATGATGATGATGATGATGATGATGATAATGATAAGGATAGTGCTAGTATACAGTGCCCATTTAGTTTTTCTTTCAGTTGCTCCTGAGGAAGCCCAAGAGGCGGCACATTGAGCTGTGTCTATGAAACAAATTCTAAACATTTTATATTGTTATGTTATTTTTGTCTGAAATTCAAACAAGACTCTCCTTCCTACTCTGCTTTCCAAACAATGATGATGATGATGATGATGATGAAGATGATGATGATGATGATGATGATGATGATGATGATGGTGATGATGGTGATACCAGCAGGGGCCAAGGAAGGCCAAGGAAGTTAAATGTGAGAGTTCAGTTGTTGTGAGTTGTGCTGTCTCTCAGCCTGTTCTCTCACTCACTCTCTCCCGCACTATACAAATCTGCAAGGAAGATGGTTCTAATCTGCCTTTCTCTCCCCCCCTCCCCAAATCTCAAACCCACTCTTGTCTCCCCTACCCCCATCTCCCCTACTCCTGTCTCCTCCTACCCCCTTCTCCCTATCCC